GTGTCATTATCCAACACACCTCTATATCCAAACATTTTTGTTCCAAGTTTGGAAAACATTAAGAATAGAGCAATACTATAGGAACTTTAATTGAAGACCTAATCTGAAGACTAAATGATGTGGCTTCAATGTAAACTATTGAATTAGTTGTGAGTTCCAATATTAGATGGAGCTCACAACTAATCCAATAGTTGTACATCATTAAGTCTCTAAATTAGGTCATCAAATTATATCCAAATAGCATTTTTCTTAAGGTTTGTTTGTTTAGCAAAAAAATGGTAAAAAATACAAGAAAGATAAACTTTTTAAAATTTTCATGTGTTTGATTAGTATGAAAAGGAAAATGATATAAAAAATAATTTTCTTTCATGCTTGAATTTTCTCACAAATAACTAACTTTTTTTTGTTGTAAAAAATACAAGAAAATACAAAAAAATTGTGATATATAATTCACTTCTCATTTTACAGTTATTTTTCTTAAAATACTTTATTAGTTATTAATTTTAGAAAATTTTGGTTTGAATTTGATTAATTGTATAATTTGACCCAAAGATCTTTATGTCGGTGATTGTCTTAGAATTATGTTTTGTGTCACTTTTTAAAAAAAAAATTAATTTTCAATTATAATTACATATTTTTTAGACCGATTTAATATAATTAAGGGTAATTTAGACAATTATAAAAAATTTCTTATAATTTTACTTTCTTTCAAATAATAGAATAATTTTTTTATAACTTTCCCGTAAATTTTTCATTCTAACCAAATACATGCATGAAAATATATTTTATATTTTTTTTCTTTCATTTCACTTTCTATCATTTTCACTTTTCATCATTATTTTCTTCCTAACCAAACGAACCCTTAACGATATATCCAAACACACTCTTTTTTCCTCCTCAAATTTTGCTGCTTTTTTTCTCTCTCTTAGAGAGGAAATAGCAAATAGCACACACAAACACACTTTTTCCCCCAATTCTTTTTCTTTTTAAATGTTACATAAAAGCATCTCCAACTATTACTCAAATTTTTACTCAAATTTAAGTTAGTATTTGAATAAAAAGCTTGATTTTATACAAATGGCTCTAATGGACAAATTCAAATTTAAAGAAGGAAAAATTTAAATTTAAATTAAATGAGAGTAAAGATGACCATTGGATCTTTAAAAGGGGTAAAATCTCACTATTAAAGATTTCAATGAGAATTTAAGTAAAAAAAAAAATCTCCCTTAATTTGGTATAAGTTTGAGTAAGGAATGGAGCAAATTTTTTAAATTTTTTAACTCAAATTTAAATTTGAGTCAGGATTGGAGATGTCGTAACACCCCGCTACTTTCTCTCTCTAAACAACACAAAACCCTACAGTTAGAAGCTATGAAGCATGAATACGAATATAGGATACGGGTACGATACGATACGGATACGATGATACGATAAAGTCTAAAAAATAGGATACAGGTACGGCTAAGATACAATTATAATAAAATATATTTAATATTTTTATTATTTTCAACCAACTTAATACTTATATATTTTGGTAGTTCTTTAACATATAATAAGAAAAATTAGTAATTTTCTTTAGTTTCAAGAAAATATATATTGTGTCATTGTTATATATTCGCAAAGTGAAGTGACTAATTAAATGAATTAAAACTAATATTTACTTAGTATTTAGAAGTAATTTTGTTAAGATTATAATGTAATAGTTTTGTTTTATGCTCTTTTGACATGTAATTATAGATAATACTTAAAAAACACTCATATGCTTTTGAAATAATATGAATTTTTTGTTAATGTATTATATGGTATGTGAATTTGAAAAGAGATGTTAAAAGTTAAACTAAAAAATTATATACGTTACTCGACTACAAAAGTATCCGTGAAATATCATAATATTTAATTATTATCGAATACGTAAAAGGGGTATGCGATACGTATTCTCGAGTATACGACGAGTATTATATCTGATACAGTATCTAGTACGAGTACATCAACCTCAACAAAATATTTGTGCTTCATAGATTAGAAGGGTGGAGACGACGTCGTGGTCAGGGGCGAAGCTACGTTATGAGCCATGGGAGCACTTGCCCTCACTGAACTTTTGATCAACTGTACATATGACATATTAAAAGGATTTAACTTTATTTAAACTTAATACACTTGCCCCCTAACTTTTTGAGAATTAATAGTGATCCAAGTTTTTTTTTTTTTTTTTTTTATTTTAAACAACTTAGTAGCTCATTGCCTCATCGCCCTTGAAACAAATGTTTTATTTTTTGATTGAGGAAAATAAATGTGAAAAGTTACCCCTGATTCTTTTTCTTTAAGTAAGTAGATTAAAATAATCACTTATAACCTATTTTTGAGATTTAAAAATTATTTATAAATAATATTTTAAACGAAATTTTATTTTGCAGTTTCATATAATATTTAGGTTTTGATTCTAAAACACTTTGCCATGCTTGAACTTAAATTTTTTTGTGTTTAATTAGTGAATACTTTTTAGTTATTTTGTTGCCCCCTCTAAGAGAGGATCCTGACTCCGCCCCTGGTGGTGGTGGGGGGCACCATGGTTGTTCGCTAGTTGTGAGAGAGAGGGGGAAGGAGTAATCTGAACCACAATATACCCGAACCAAGCACACTTGTTTTTTCCCACCTTTTTTTTCTTCTTTTCTCTCTCTTTGCACAACAATCACATGTTTATTTCTCTTCCTATGCACTGTACACACTGCAAACACCCACAGCGGAACTAACCCGACTTACTTCCAGCAACAAAAGTCACACCACAACACTCCACGAGAGACCTAACAACACCAACAAAGGCCATAAAGCAGCACCACACACACCTCCTTCCCAACGAGACCCAACAACATCGACGACCTCCTTTCCTTTCCATAAATCCATCCCCAGAAAATCTCCCTCTCTCTCAAATTCTCAGTCCCCTCATACACAAATAACCCTAGACTTAATCAACAATCTCTGCTTTTCAATCACAGCCGTTAAGTTTCGAAACCAACACCCACAACCATCAGTGAACACCATTTAACCTTGTCGCAAAAACCGAACAGTGCGCTATTGCTACCACTGTGAACTAACCCAATCCCTATTTCTCTCAATTTTTTGTTACTAATTTATGCTCAAAATTTGAAATTGTTAGATTGAGGAGAATAATTTGTAGTTGTTAGGCAGAGATTGGGAGAGAAGACTGGGAGTGGAGATTGAATAAAATTGTGTGTTCAGGGTGTGTTTGACAATTTATGGGTGGACTGAACTGACTTGGATTTAAATCTCAAATTAGTCCACTGAAATCCCAATGGGACGGATATGTTAGAGGAATAAAAGAAAATTGTGTTATCTAATCCCACATTTGGATAGTGCATTATGATATGGTTGGGATACGGACAAATTTTAATTTTTTATTGAACATGTAATACCTTTGACATAAATTGATCATTTTACCCTTGAATCCTATTCAATCCTATCTCTTGTTTGACTTGAGAATTGTTGGTTACATTTTATAATACGCTCACAAATTTATTTCATCCGCCAAAGATATTAAAATATTTAGGACAAAAAATTCCAGAATATAGAAAAAAAATTATATCACAACCCAAATTCATATAAACAATAATAGTAGTAATTAACGGTTTTTTTAAAAAAAAATTAAATGAAGAAAAAATTATTTCCAATCACAAAAAAAAAAAAACAAGAAACCATGATGGGAAACACTGTATACAAACCTCCTTCAAATCATATTAAAAAGAACAAAACTTGTGTTATAAAGAAAAAATATACAGTACACATGTAAAGTCAAACCTGTGTTATCCTTTGTCAGTAAAAAATGAGCACATTTTTTTCATCATTCAACTGGCAGAATTCCAAATCATTGTTTACAATTTTTCACCCATTCACCATGGAATCATAAATTTTTAATAAAATCTTACATGAGCTAGAAAATGAAATAAAATAAATTTTTAATTAAATTAAAAAATAAAATAAAATCTTTTAAAATTTTCTAATTGAATGGTATTAACTACGTTCAAATAAAGTTCTTCGTATTATCTCATAAACAAAAATTCAAATATTGTGGTAACTTTATTGATACGAAATATCATGAAAAAGAAAAGACATTACAAAGTCTAGAGCTCTCTCTTGCTTAGACAATAAATCTCGCATTTTTAGTTAAATTAAAAGCTACCATGTTTTCATTTCTTCAAATCAAACATTTGAAGTTCATTCTCGATGTAGATTCAAAACCGATGATGACATGCTGCATGGTTTGTTGTAAAGCAAAATATATAATTACCTTCATAGCAGTGATGTCTGCGCCCATTGACAACTCACCATACATAATTTTTTTTGGCCATCCCAACCACAAAAATGTCATTAGTGTCCTCAATTACAACCTCGTCATCATCCAAAATCACCACCCCACAAAAGTTAACCTTAAGAAAATCAGTTCTAGGAAAAAACCGTGACGCAGAGTTGCTTAAAAAGGTTTTGTAGCCGTAATCGGTTTGTTTGAAACTAGTTAGGAGTTTTTTTATAAAATTGAAAAATACTAAAAAAGGTTAATTTTAATGGCATCTTATTTAATTATTACTTTCATGTCAAAATACATAAAAAATTTCGTTTGACCAAGTTTAATGCATGAAAAATTCAAACTATATGATACCATTTTTTTAAGCAAAAAAAAATAAAAGTATATTTAATTATAATTTTAAAAAAGTTATTTAAATGAATTTTAGTATATTATTATACAGGGCAAATTATATCCCCTCAATTATAATTTTTTTTTATTTTATCCCTTCAACTATCATATTTTTTATATTACATCCTCAATTGCATGATTAATTTTGTATTATCCCAATTATTAATGTCCAAAAAAAAAAACATTTTAAATTGCTGCTACGAAATCAGCAAACTTATTAGGTGGCAAGACAAAACTGACCCTGGTTGTGTATATACTTTCGTTGCAGGGACAGTGGATAAGCAATTCAACAATGGAAGCTCTCGGTCATGGACTTCCACCATTGAACACTCTCACTCTCTCGCGTTGTGACTCTCAGAAACAACTTTTCAACAAGCCACTGGTGTTAAGGACAGGACACCGCCTCTATTCTCCATCCCCACCTTATCTGAAACTCAGACCCCCTTTTGGGACTCGCCACAGTGGCGTAAGTTCTTCTTCCATCTTTCCAATTTTGTAGTGATTTGGGTATCTTTAATTTGTGTATGTATTTGTGTAAATGCGCGTTAATATTTAGGTAAGCATGAATTGTGAGATGGGTTTGCTTTTGTTTTGGTACAGTATGCAAGTGTGGTAAAAATGCAAGCAGTTGATGAAGATTATGAGTTGAAGCAAATGAAAGATATGGCTGCAGCTAGAAAGAGATGGGAGACCCTGGTAGGTTCTGAGAATTCCAAGCAACTTTAATACTTATATAGATATTAAGACCTTAGGAAATGTTAGATTTTTAGTATCATAGCCAAATCTTAGTTGCAATTTGGAGTTGGGGCAACGAAAATGGAGCTCTAGTCAAATTTTACCGTTTGGGTGCGATCAATTGAATTCGAATTTCATAGATACCCAAGTTGCAGTAGCAAATCCAAAGGATTTAACGATTATTCGGTTTTACGAAATTAAATCTTAAGGCAGCTCAAAATAGATTTTTTGGACTGGGGATTTAAGTTGCCAATATGTGATTGCTTGAGTTGGTATGAGGGTTGGGTTAAAAATCTATAAATTGATAGTTTGTAAAAGTTCAAGCAGCTTTTGACTTCATAGGTTGGGAAATTGAACTGCACTTAATATCATCATAGGGATATAGAGAGCACTCAAAAACTTGTTACGTCCTGAGTTTTTCTCTTTTTTCACTATAATCATTACCTGTGGTGTTATACTGTCAAATGCAAATAAACTTATTAACTTTAGTCAGCATAGTTGTAGTTTGTCTGTGTAGTCACAGCTGGATCAGTCTGAGGTCTTATTTGTGCCCGTGCCCTAAAAACTTATTGGCAAGGCTGATGGATGATGTTGGAATAATTGTGTATATATTCTTTTTGGTACAATGTTCTGCTGCCACGTAATCTGGACATTTATCATGACTGACAATCTACAAAGCCCGAGTGCACAGACAAACTACAAAAATCACTGCTTGTTCGGTGGCATTGTTTTGATGTTTTTGTTTCTTTTACAGTCTCTTAAATTAAATACAATGAACATAAATACAGTTGTGTCAGTGTTGTACGTGACATTTTTGTGTGACGAGCCTTACAGGTCTATGCCTTGCACTAGAATGCCTGACCTTTTATTCACCACTTGGGCGTCTTGAGTAGATTGTAGTGCATATCAACTATATGATCAATTGCCTTGATGCATTAAGAATTATGTATAGCTTTCTGGATGGAGTTTTTTTTATCTATTTTATCATAGGTCAGGGATGAGAAAGTCAAAGTTCTGACCCCAAGGGAAGCTGGGTATGCAATAAAACTTACCGACAAAACCCTACTTGATGTTCGTCCGTCTATCGAACGTAAAAAGGTGAATTTTTTTTTTCTTCACACTGTTTTCTGTGTAAAAACCCTTCTTTTTTTGTTTTTTGGTGAATATAAAAGGGAGATGTCTTACTTTCGGCGTTATAGTGTAGTACTTGGTCCCATAATACAGTTATTTGTCCCACGCCACTCGCTTCTTTATATAGTTTGCCAGTTTACGTGATGATTTCTTCACAGCTTTTCATTATTGTAGTGTTGAAAGCTTCAACTTCGACTATTGTTATGGATTCATTGATCCTATTTATTAAAGCACCATACTTCATCTTGATCAATTTGTTTGGAAGCACTTGCTTTTTATCCCTTCCCCCCTATTTTTTTTTTCTTTTCAGAATAAGATAAAAGAAAATGGTCCGCCATATATGTTTCAACTTCCATCATCATATTATTCATCCTCCCATTACCATGATTTTAGCTCCTGTTTTGAAGGCATGGGTTAAAGGGTCAACATGGATTCCAATCTTTGAAGTTGACAGTAGATTTGATGCTGGAACTCTTTCCAGGAAGGCCACAAATTTCATGATGGGTATTACACTATCTCTCGAGTCTCTCATAATTTGCGTACGGAGCCATACCATCTACACAATCTCTATGGTCTTTCCCACTTTATAAATCTTGTGTCTCGTTATTCAAATGGACAGTTGTTGCAATAATGTTAATATGGTGTATTACCAGAAACAAGCATTATTGGTTTGCTACCTTCATTTACTTCTTAAAAATTAAAAGAACATCGTTTTTCTATTGTAGTTAATTCCCTTAGAGTTCTTGTTCAATTTTCCTCTTTTTCTTGTAGGAGGTTGGTGGACTGGCGTGCCTTCACTCTCCTATGATAAGTGTGTTACTCAAAGAATTCTTATTCTTCTATTTTTTTTTGTAGATCTTCATGTGTCTGTATAATATTTCCAATTTCCACTTACTGATTCCTTTTCCAACAGTAAATTCTTATCAAAAGTTGAGGAGAAATTCTCGAAAGATACTGATCTTATAGTGGCATGCCAGAAGGGATTGAGGTGAACTTTTCAATTTTGAATGCTAGATTGTCAAGTGAATAATTTGTTTACTTCTTGTTACAATGTTTGGATTAAGGTCTTTGTACCTTTTGGTTACAGATGGTTCCTTCTCCATTTCCTTTTCATTTTTTACCAACAAAACAAAAACATTGGGATATAATACTCCATCTCAATATTAAATATTGGTCTTCCTTTAAGGATGTCCCATGTTAAAAGTGCTTCGTGAGAAGTCAACGCACTATTTACACAATGTTCCAAACCTACCTTTTGTAGGAGCAAGAATTTGAAAAGTCTATTTGTGGTGAAAAGGTCACTTGTCAAAATTTTGAAATAGCTGTAGGGTCCATTTCAAATTTCCTATCGCAATTAAAATTCTGGAGGCAAAAAGTTGGAATTCCTGAAAGTGTCCTATTGAAACAAGGAGTATTATTTTTTGAGGAGTTTTTTGTTCTCATTTTTTGTTACACATCAATTTCTGCAACTACCAACAGTTTTTGTATTTTGTAAGCACTAGAATGTATAGTTTCTAATCTTTTTCTTCTATATATTATGGGAGCATTTATCAGAGAGGCACCTACAAATGTCCCAAAGCACCAAAGCATTGTTTATTTAACGGGCATGAAATGATGACAACAAAATTATTTCCTTAATTAGTTGTTATTGTTTGCAGTGCAACATTACTTCAATAAGTAAGCCAGTGCACAAAGAGAAAAAAGTGAAATATATGGTTGCTGGGCAAACAGGATTGATATAAGCTTTATTATATGTTTGCAATATAACTGGGCCAGTTGACTGTCCAGGCTTATGATGGGACCCAATGCTCATCCAACTAAGTAAATTTTAGAAAATATTACACTTTAAACAGAGATGAACTCAACTTGAATATGATTTGTAAAATATTGATGACTCTGGATACCTTTTCACTCTTCCAAGCTTCACACAACCACATTTTCATGTCGAAGATCTCTAGCAGCTTGTGAGCTACTGTACAATGCTGGTTATAGAAACCTTTTTTGGGTTCAAGGGGGTCTGGAGGCTGCCGAAGAAGAGGTACTAGCTTATTTGGAGAGAAATTTGAAATTTGCTTTCGTATATGTAAATGTTCTTTTATGGTTATTTTCCTTTCTTTTTTTGCTATTTAAGACTAAAGAGGCAATGAAATCTTATTTGGAGCAGGATGTTGAAAGGGAAGGTCCTCAGCCTTTTAAGTTTGCAGGAATTGGTGGGCTTTCAGAGTTCCTTGGGTAATTATATCAGACTTATGCATTTTTTTTTTGTACATATTTCCTGGAAGATGAACATATCTGTATAACCTTATAAACCCCGTCTATCGCTTGTTAGTGTAGTGCATCAGGGTGCATGCACTGCTTGCTATGATGAAGCATGTTGTGACATGGTAGCAGTGCTATCTATCACAAGTTCTCTGGACGGTGTTCAAAAGCAAGGAAACAAATCAATGGATGTTTATGGATTGGATAACAGCTTGATTTGGTTGATCCTCTGATTTTGGGGAATGAATTGTACACTGCGTACTTGTATTGCTTTAACACAATTCCAACTCACCTACCAACAGGGGAAAGCGCTGAATCACTCACCATCGCTGATCTTTCTCCAGCCCATCACACAATAGGATATGCCTTCTTGCAGCATATTCAGACATGTCAATAAATGTTACTTTTTGTCCAAATGTCCGGCATAATTTATGTCGGTATATATTTTATTAGACAATGCACTTATTGACATTCTCTGATTATTGTCAGATGGACTGACCAACAAAGAGCTGCAGGTGCCAAGGAGGGTTGGGTTTACCGATTAGTTTTCTCTGTCCGTCTGGTAGTAATTCTTTCCAGCCATTTGGAATGAACTAAACTTCTGTCTTACCTTAGATCCGGTTGTTACCCAGAGAATAATCCCTTGTCAAATTATTTGTGTCATAGGTTGGAGTCTTTCTTGTTGCTGATGCTTTGTTTCTTGGGGCACAGCAAGTGGGTCGTTATCTTCAGGATATAAGGGCTCACTAAGGGACAAGAACTGGATCTGAAGTTCTTTATATCCCAAGCATCTAAGAGATGATGTTCTCCATTTGAGTTCATGCACCAGAGACCTGACAACTGCGACGTGCCAAGCATCCCAAATTTGGAAGCTAGAGTATGAGTTTTCGGAAGTGGTTGTCATACATGTCTTTTTCATGCTTTCTATTTTTCATGCACGCTGAGTCAATTGAGTTGTATTTCTGTATGATCTGTTGAGGTTATTATGGGGGTATTTCCTCACCTAATTTTTGTCAAACTCGTGCATGCTTGTAAAAGGAGGTGTAATGCGTGAGCTATGCATATTTAGTTTCACTGCTTCATAAGGAATCTATTCTGTGATTTAGTGGCCATTGATTGTTTTTTATTTTCTACATAACTTCATGTACAAGAATCCAGCTTAGTTTTAGGAATACTTGTCTCTCAGTTTGATTTCTAGTTTTCTCTGATTTATTATGAATTTAAATGATAAAATTCTTCATTACTTGGTGGCTTGGTTTTAATTTGACATCCTAAAGAATGGATTGGACCTATTGCACCAGCTACATGTGTGTCTTGATTGTCTAGAACGATGTATACCCTACCAATGGTGAGCTCTTCATGTGAACTGCTTAACCATCATGTCTAGAACAAATGTATCCCATGGTTGTTACAATTGCATTATTTTGTTATGTGTTCCTCATTTCAAAATTTTAATTCCCCATTTGATTTAATGACTGATGTCTCCCAGGCAGGAAATGGTTTATGCAGTTAGCTGTCTGGGAAAAAAAACTAGTAGAAGCAATATTAGACAAAATAGTTTCTTCATTGTCTGGGATGGGATTCAATGATCAGAAGATAGCCTCTTTGATGATTGATGTATGCACCAACCTAGAGAGTGAAATTTCATTTGTCTAATTTTGAATTTTCTGAAATATTTAGGCAGAGCTCCTCGTGCACAAGTTGTGGTAGTATTCATGAATCATTTACCATGTAGGAGCCGCTGTGTCGTCTTACGGAAGTCACGGAAGTCTTGAAATTGATCTGAAAGCATTACATTGCCATTGTGTTTGTTACACAGGAAGATTGATCTTTTCGATAAGCTCTATACTCTCTAAGATGGAGCTTTTCCTTCTTCATAAGCTCTAAAATCCTATATTCAAAGTGAAGATTTTGATTTATCGAATTTGATGACTGTTGAGTGGGGCTGCCTTCAAGCATACAGCACCAGATCATGTTTTTACATGTCTTTTCCAACATAATGCTATATCCTATTTAGTTTTTCTTCCAACTCCATTTTGCTGCTTCTCTATCATTTTTTTCGCTTTCCTTTGGATGAAGCAGAAGGATGCTGGAATGCTACTCATTTAATGAGTAAGATAAAAGTATTGTTGCTTTTACAGTATCATTTTGTTTCCGAAGCTCAAGAACATAATCACCACCAGTTCTCGATGTGCATGACTTGTTTTTGCATTCTTAATGGGCATATGATTCATACCATCTTTTTTTTTTTTGGACAAATATTGTTTTATTGGTTTTTCTTGTTTTTGAGAAATTTATCAACCAAAAACGGAGAGATGAATAATTATTGAGTTTAGATGACTGTTGGAATCAACATTATTGCTCTGCAGTTTATACAGACAAAGCTTGGACTTATGGCAAGTGTGGTTTGGCAATTACACTGAGATGAGATATCCTATGCATTGTGATGCCAAAGACTTCTGTCATATCCAGATCTTTGGCCTCAATACCAAAGGGAAGCTCCCAATCAAATCTGTGGAGAAGTTGAGCTAGAGCAAGCTCAACGGTTGCTGTGCCAAACTTAATAGCAGGGCAGCTTCTTCTACCAGCACCAAAAGGTATCAGCTCATAATCTTGTCCTTTAAAATCTATATTACTACCCATGAATCTCTCTGGTTCAAATAGTTCTGGATTTTCCCAAGATTTTGGGTCTCTCCCGATTGCCCAGGCATTGACAAAAAACCTTGTTTGTGCAGGAATATCATACCCATCAATGGTTATATCTTCCATGGATTCTCTAGGGAGTAGTACTGGTGCAGGAGGATGTAGTCGGAAGATCTCTTTGACAACTGCTTTCATGTAGTGCAACTGAAGCAGGTCATCCTCTGACACAAATCTTCTTTCTCCAACAACACTCCTTAATTCAGCTTGTGCTCTTTCCATGACATTGGGGTTTGTTATGAGCTCTGTCATTCCCCAATCTAAGGTTATGAAGGTTGTATCTGTTCCTGCAGTAAACATGTCCTGCCATGACAATAACAACTTAGTATATATGGTTAGATGTCCAATGCAAACAGTTGAGCTAAATAAGACTATAGGCTCTTAGGGCATATAGTCGCTTCTATTCTAAGGTCTAACCTTTCATTCGCTATGTGAGGTTAGACCTTGACTGAAAGGAAAGGAGAAGGAACGAGTGGATCTAATAGCACATAGAATTGAAGGCATTTTTTGGTAGCATCGTTGAACCAGTTGCCACTTACTGGCTCTGTCTCCTTCCCTTTCTCTCGGTTCCCAGGAAAAGCCTTATATATACAAATATGTATATATGCATACATAAATATCCATATATTCCCCCATACACCTGTAATTTAGAGCATGGTGCACAAGTATTGTTCACTTACCAAGATGATGGCTTTAATGTTGTCCATGGTGAGAGGCATTTCGATTGACCCATTTTTCTGTATATCAAGTAAGACATCCACAAGGTCCTTGTGATCTTTTTCTCCCTGGGGATTGAGATGTTCCTTTATTACATCATCGAAAAATTGATCAAAGTGTTTGAAGGTGTTCTGAAGTCTTGATTTCATGCCAGTGAAGTTGTGTATAAATTCCATGGAAGGGAAGAAATTCCAATGCTAAATCCTCCGAGCAACACTTGATACTCCTCAAGCATCTTCTGGAATCCACACCAATCATAGTCGCCTCCTGCCGAGAAGTCTCTTCCGAACGCGATACGACAAAGGACATCATTTGCATACATTCCAAGCATCTTGGTCAGATCAGTGGTGCCTGGATAAAATTCTGCAACCCGATGAACCAGACGGGCAACTTCCTCTTCTCTTACAAAGCTATAGGATTGGACTCTCGTTGCACTTAACAACTCAAGTATGCAAATTTTCCTTATTTGCCGCCAGTAAGCACCATATGGAGAGAAGACAACATCAGTGCAGTCATAGAAAAGGTGTTTGGCAGAGAAGATTTGGGGGCGGCTTGAAAGTGCAAGATCATGGGTTTTCATCACCTCCTTTGCCATTTTCGCTGATGAAACCACAACTGTTGGAACCTCACCAAGCTTCAAGTAAATGATGGGACCATACTTGTCAGCTAGGTGGCTGAGAGATAGGTGTGGCATGTTGCCAAGCTGGTGGAGATTGGCAATTATTGGTAGCTTTGGAGGGCTTGGTGGGAGATTGATCTTTCCTTTTCTGGACTTCTCCTTCAATAGAAATGATGAGACTTTTCTGAAATGCTCCATGATGAAGACACGTGTCCTCGGTATTATCAAAACACTGTTGCTAAGATCAAGCACCATCGGCGCATAAAGGTCTTCGCTCCCGAGGTACCTATCATATAGGATCATGCATTCAGTATGTTTACAACCGACACGTGGCCTCGGTCTGATATGGTACCTCGGTCGGCATACCTCCCTCGGTTCCGAGATGAGCCTTTCTTTGGTGCCGAGAGGTACCCCGTCCTGGACGCCTCCTCTACTCCAGGATAAGCTATTGACGTACAGGTCATTAGCCTAGACTAGTCTAGATTATTCATCATGACCTCGTCTTACACAATTAGTGTCAGAACGTACTGGAATGCAGGGGTCACAGCCAATAAAGGATGGCATATGATATCACATCGAAGACAGAGAAACCGCATGCCGTTGCTGACACGCGACTTGGGAAAGCAAATTATTAATTACACCATTCCCTTGATGAGACCGCATTCAATGCGGTAAGACTCGGAAATGAAAGGCAATAAATGCTCCTAATACAGAGCATTTATTGCATCCTCCCCGAGAGTAGTACATTGTACCGTCGGCATCCCGATGACCCAGCATTGATTGCTCGGGACCCCGAGCAGTTAAGAAGAGAAGACATTCCTCATCAGAATCAGTGCACACACTGCCTGTACTTAATGATCATCTACTGACTACACTGACAGCAATCATGAGCTTTTAAGGTATAAATACTCCTTGCAAAACGCAAGACGGTATGCAACAAAAAACTCTTTACTACTATACTCACTCAGTGTTTTCTCCTTCCTCTCTCTTTCTAAAAGACTGACTAGATCGTCGGAGGGGATACGCCGGAAAACACTCCGGTGCCCTTCTAACTTGTTCTTCTTTGTTTCAGGAACCTCTTTCAGCCTTACTGGATCGTTCTTCCGTTGCCAGGGTCTCCCATTGCCGTTCCAGGTTACCACCAGACCTCGCAGGCTGTTCCAAACAGCGTGTTTGGTCACTCAACCGGCTCACTCGAAGTTCACCAAGGGAGAGATCTGTTCTCGTTTTTTATATTGTGCAGGATCTTGCACGCACAAGAAACATCATCACCACCACTAGTATAATTGATGCAATGACTAAAGAGGGTAGGAAGCCATCTTTCAGCAGCAACTGAAGAAGTGCCATTGCAGTTTCTTCGAGCAAGGTTAGTTTTGATATCACTTTCTTCTTGTATGGTTATCCTTTTGTATGCTTAAAACAGTTTTGCTTTCTGCACCCTCTTTAGGATATTCAATTTTGCAACATGGAGAGGCTTTCTCTACTTGTCCTTTGAGCTTTGATAATTCTCTGTTATGGAGTTTCCACACTTACCGAGACTTTGTACTCGAGGACAAAGAAATCTGACCAATCTTGCGGAAATGTAACCACACATCACAGCATCATCCATCTGACCATGGTTAGGTAAAGAAATTTCTGCTAGCAAATGACCTCCATATTAAGTGCACCTTTTGGCTTGATAAAGATTTGATAGTCATTATTCCTCATGAGTACTTTTTTTCTGATATGAATGGTCTGTTTTTGATTAGACTAGAGAGAAGATTAGTCGAAGTGCGCGTAAGCTGACTCGGATACTTTTAACCGTTAAACAAACAAAAATTTGATAGTGATTGCACACGAAGACTGGAATATAAGAAAAGTAGTGTCTGCTTACATTAGAATTTTCATGAACTGAATTCCAGAAGGGACATGCAACATAAATTTGGCAAAATTATAGGTAATTTGGGTTCACTAAAATGGGACAAATTATCGGAACTCTGTTTTTACAAAATTCTTAAATGTACTAGCATTTAGAGGAACAATAAGGTTATTTTATTAAATGACAGTAACTATTAGTAATGGTGGTTAATGTTTCTTTTTTTTTTTTTTTGCAATAAAGTTAAGGTTAGCTACATCATCTTATTATCCATATCTTATGCTTTTGCAATCAAAGATTACCCAGTTCATCCACCAAGTTAGGTGGTGGTCCTCCTTTCTTTATCTTTGATTGGAATAGATTGTGGTTCACTCGTTGATCTGTGTCAGCCAAAAAAACAAAGAAAAAAAGCTTATCTACCCTTGGGAATCATTGGGAATCTGAGATTTTTCTTGGCATTATATGGACACTAGTCCAAATTATAGACTATCACAATCTTATTCATAGCTGGCAAAGATCAACGACTAACCGAAGTTCTTTTGATTGAATTAATAAAAGAATTATCTTTTATTAGTTTTTTGTATTATGTGTTTGTTCTTTATTTCTCATCTAATGAAATTCTGAAACAAAGCATTTGAACTCTTACAAACATTCGTCTGAAAACTGTCTGTCGATTGAAATATCTTTGTCTATCTCAGGAGATTTTGGAGCAACAGATCTATTAGGTCAACAAAAAAAATACATTAAATTAGGTACAAATAGCATTTTGATCATATCAAGATCAACTTTATAAGCCTACTTGGGTATTGAGTATTTATTTGAAAGAATTAAATTCTTTGTACTGGATAGTTGTCAACTCTAAAAAAAAGAATCCAGTAAAACAAAACTATTCATATATGGGTGTATATAAATAATATACATGCGTTCTCAAATTTGGTCATTGTAACATTGTTCCTAACTTTTCAGGCATACTCACCCTCCCAAAGCTAATTGGTGAAAAACACAAGATCCTGCCACCGATCGGTCAAGCTCTTAACTGTGATAATTTTATAGTTGCAAAGCTGAAGGATAGAACTCATTACTGAAGAATGGTGAAAGGTGATGATATTTGATGGTCCAATCCCGAAGGCCCAATACATGTTATAACCTCAGTCCGAGTTTTTAACCCAACTCATAGAGATTCAACAAATTCAATCCAATGTGGTCGACTCGGTCAAGCTCATCAGGCTCGAGGAGCTACTACATTAGCAAGGAGCAAGCAATGTCATCCAAGAGCCTCCTCCTCTACCACCTTGGAGCAAGAGTCATCCAAGAGCCTCCTCTACCACCTGGGAGTATGGGTCATCCAAGAGCCTCCTCGCTACCTTGGAATAAAGGAACATTCAGGAGTCTCACCTATGCCGGAGAGAGTCTACCTTCCTACATCCTTTGACCATGTCCTTTGGAGAGCACCATAACTTCTACGCTGGTTGAGGATAGGAGAGGTCTCTAAGCTATTAAATCATTATTAAAGCCATATCCACCTGTTATGACTATTAAACGGTCCCAACTCCGTTATGACCTTTCGACTAGTTATGCAATTATTATACTAAGCTATTATAAATTATAAGTCCCACCAACACTTGAGGGGCATCAGACTCATTTGAGCATAATTTTCTCCTCTCGGCTCAAAGCTTGTAATCTTGTGCTCTCCCTCTACACTAGAAATAATAAAATTTCGGTGACCCTTGTCATTCAAAGTGGACGTAGGTCATATTGACCGAACCACTATAAATATTGTCTTCTCTTTTCCTCTACTTTATTGTATTTTATATTACTTAATTGATTGATGGTGTGTAAACAAATTTTGTGCATCATCAGTTTGACACCGTCTGTGAGAATGACAAAGTTCTCACTTAAGCATTTTCTTTGCTAAATCAAAGGCGATCACCCCCAGATCTATGAATCAGCCTGAAGACATTCTACCACGAGAGGAGGTTTTTCCTCCACCCAATCCAGTCCCAAATGCGCAGCAGATGTTGGAGTCCATGTAACAACTTATAGCTTAGAACCAGTAGATTCTGCAATTGATGCTCAGGCAACAAAGAGGAGCACAACCTAAACTTCAAGTTAGAGGAGTTCCACGCCCTGTCCATCAAGGAGCTCCCCATCAAGGGGGCGCCCTACCTCTCGGACTACCCCTGGGCGCCCCACATAAGAGGGCCCACCATGAGGGACCTTCACCTCTTCCTCCAACTCCTGTTTTCCATGATGGAGATCCTCATTTTCAAGAGGATGAGTGTGAAAACCATTTCTATGATAATTCCAGAAGACCTCATTCCAATCACTGGGACAAAAAAATTAAGGAGGTACAAAATCAATTGGTTGATGTCTTCAACGCCATGAAGGTATAAAGACATGAGACAGTGGACTATCTCGTAAGTTGAATTGACACACCTTTCAAACCTGACGTGGCGAACAATTCATTCCCTCAAAAATTCGAGATGTCATCTATCGAAACTTTTGACCGTACGAAAGATCCATTGGACCACTTCGAAACTTTTAAGACCTTAATGTAGCTGCACAACGTCTTCGACGAAATTATGTGTAGGGCATTCCTAACTGCCTTGAAGGGATCAGCGTGACAATGGTTCGCTAAACTCACTCTGGCCTCCATAGGCTCTTTCACCGAACTGAGCAAATCCTTCATGTTACACTTCATTGGAGGACACCGCCACCAGAAGCCTGCTACCCACCTGCTCAGCATAAAGAAGGATTGAAATGAGAGCCTGAGGAGCTATCTCACTAGTTTTAACGAGGAGGTTCTTCAGGTCGAGGAGCCCGATGATAAGGTTAGCATGCCCGCCTTCTTAGGAGGCCTCCGGTCATCAAGCTTCCTCTTCTCAGTAATGAAGCGCCCTCCAAAGAGCATGTCAGTACTATTGACAAAAGCTCAAAAATAAATGAATGCTGAAGAAATCAACAGGTCTAGGCGAGGTGAATCATCTCATGGATCGCCAAAAGCTTGACCTACCTTTGCATTGTTCTTAAACAGACAGTCTATCTCCAGCTTAATGGCTCTCTCGCGGGTCACTAAAAAGCTTGGCATCTGCATTGTTCTCAAACAGGCAGTCTATCTCCAACTGAGCGGCTCTCCTGCGGGTCACTAAAAGTTTGACCTGCCTCTGCACTGTTCTCAAATAGGCAGCTTATCTCTAGCTTAGTGGTTCTCTTGCGGGTCGCCAAAAAATTTAGTCTTTGCACTGTTCTCAAACAAGCAACCTATCTCCAATTGAGCGGCTCTCCCGCAGGTCGCCAAAAGCTTGGCCTCTGCTCTGCTGTAAAGTAGGTAGCCTATTATCAGCTAAGCGGCTCTCTTGTGGGTTGTTCAAAAGCTTGACCTCTGCATTGTTCTCAAATTGATAGTCTATATCTCAAGCTTAAGGACTCTCTCATGGGTTTCCAAAAGCTCGATCTCAAAAGATATAGCTCGCTCACGAGCAGTCCTCAAACTGTCTTTATTCTCGCGCAAGCAGCATACCTCTCTCTCCAGGTAATTATGTTAGATATTTTAAATGTTTAGAATAACATTGTTTTTGTCATCTCTAGCCAGACTCTTGAAATTCAAGTCGTCTGTAACTCGAAGGATTACATTAAATTGAATATCAACAGTCGGGCCTCATCCTTTTGTGTCTATACGGCACCACCACCACGCTGCCGCAACACCCTCGCACTCAACAACTAGCACAACACAAGCTCTACCTATGCTTGTCTCCAAAAAGCGCTCCTCCGTCACGATCGGTAAAGTCGCCAGCCAGCAGTACCTTGCCCAACAGCTCTTTGCTTACTACCTAGGTCACCCCAATCTCGGTGCCCAATGTCAGGGACATCTCAGCAGTGGCACCCAGCGCCTGAGACGCCTCAACAATGGTGCCCAAAGCCTCTACAGAGGTGCCCAGCCTGCGAGACGGTTCCACAGTAGTGCCTAGCACCTGGGATACCTACACACCAGCGCCCAGCAGGTCCCGACACCCAGCCCCTTGGTGCAAATAGCCAGCTCGCCCAGCTGGTTCTCCTTCCTCGCCTCGCCTGCATGGGCGCCCAGCCCCTTAGCGCGTGCAACCTCCTCTCAAGCCATTTACATGAGCAGCAAAAGGCGCCCAAGGCCTCGCCTCCAGCAACGACAGCGGGCTGCTCCCGAACAGTGGGTGCCTGAAGCACCTCCTTGGTCTCCTCTCTCAGCTCGCCTAACTGCTTGCCCAACATAGCATGCGCGCCCACCTACTTGGTCAGCTTGCCCAAGGCTTCCAAAGGTGTACCTACCTCTATGGTCAGCTCGCCCAAGGCCTCCAAAGGTGCACCCACCTCCATGGTCAGCTCGCTCAAGGCAATCCCAGGCTTGCCAAAGGTGCCTAAGGCTCTCCCAAGACAGCCCTAAGCTCTCTTAAGGCAGCCCCAAGCTCGCCCAGAAGCTACTACTAGCCCAAAATCGCATGCTCAACACGCCTATTTGCTATTTTGACCGTAAATTTTGCTCCGTAACTTAAAATAGGGCTTATTACCAAATCGAAGCTCTCGACGAGCTAAGTAAAACTTATTACTTTTGGTAATGAGCTTTTCAGAAAAAATCCAAAAAAGGCTAAAAAACAAGTGTTTTGGCCTCTCGAAGTTTAAAAAAAAATATTAATAATTTGTCGCTCGCCCAAGATGCTGCGTGCTCACCCAGGACACTCCCTGCTCGCCCAGAAGCTATTTGGTCACCCAAACTACGCGTCCAGCACACCTGTTCGTTATTTTGACCGTAAATTTTGCTCCGTTACTTCAAATGGGCTTATAATATATCAAATCGAAACTCTCAGCGAGCCATACAAGACTCACAACCTTTGACTGTGATTGATGTTGTTGAAAGCTCAAAAAAGTCCTAAAAACACAATTTCAGGGCTCCTGAAGTTTTTCCAGTTATACCTGTCAGTCAAAAACTCAAATTCAACCTAAATGCCCTCATTTTCAAGTTCCATCGCGCAGGGCATTGGGGGACAAATGATGGGTCAATCCCAAAGGCCTAATACATGTTATAAGCCCAGTCCGAGTTTTTAGCCCATTCCAAGAGATCCAATAAATTCAGTCCAATGTGGTCAAGCTCATCAAGCTCAAGGAGCTACTATATTAGCAAGGAGCAGGCAAGGTCATCAAAGAGCCTCTTTCTTTACCACCTTGGAGCAAGAGTCATCTAAGAACCTCCTCTACCACTTTAGAGTAAAGGTCATCCAAGAGCCTTCTCGCCACCTTGGAGTAAGGGAGCATCTAAGAGCCTCTTCTACCACCTTGGAGTAAGGGTCATTCAAGAGCTTCCTTGCCACCTTGGAGTAAGGGAGCATCCGAGAGCCTCACCTATGCCAGAGAGAGTCTACCTTCCCACATCTTTTGACCACGTCCTTTAGAGAGCACCATAACTTCCACGCCGGTTGAGGATAGGAGAGGTCTCTAAGCTATTAAATCACTATTAAAGTCATATCCACATGTTATGACTATTAAACGGTCTCAACCCCGTTATGACCTTTCGACTAGCTATGCAATTATTACACTAAGCCACTATAAATTGTAAGCCCCACCAACACTTGCGGGGCATTAGACTCATTTGAGCATAATTCTCTCATCTCCTCTCAAAGCTTGTAATTTTGTGCTCTCCCTTTACATCGGAGATAATAAAATTCTGGCGACCCTTGCCATTCAAAGTGGACGTAGGTCATATTGACCGAACCACTATAAACATTGTCTTCTCTTTTCCTCTACTTTACTGCATTTTATATTACTTAATTGACAGATGGTGTGCAAACCAATTTTGTGCATCATCGATATTGACTCCTAAAAAATATACTATAGGCACCCTGTCTTACTTCAATCTAAAAATGCAAAATTATGAAGTAACCCCGGGTGTTGAAAAAGGAGGTACATAAAAAAAAAAAAAGGTTAATTGTTTTTTACTCCCGTAATTTCGGTTAGAAACACTTTACCTACTTCATGTTTAAAATTATGCACATTACTCCCTAATAGTTATGTACCAAAGTGAATTAATTGATGCTGTTAGTAGAACTAAAAAATTACTATAAAACCCCAGCTCTAAAATTATATATTTTTTTATCTAATTTATTCTTGACTATAAAACTAATGGAACATTACAACAAATCAACACATTTCAATCAAAAATGTCGAATCTCTTTTTCCTTCAAATGAGGTTTTGATTCAAGATAAAAAATCACTTATGTTTTTTGATCTGTACTGCAAAAATTAATGGAATTCACTCATCCTTTGGATGAAATGTATTTGAATTGTATTTTTTTAAATTTCATTTGAGTTTTATAGCATTGCTCTATTATAAATGGTATTTTAGGCACTTAGACTATTCTTTTGGAGGAAAACAATAGAAACAAAACCCAAAACATGTTTTGGACGAGTGAAACACACTCTCCGTTAATTTGAATGATAAAAATAACTATTTTACTTTAGTACATAATTATAAAGGGATAATGTGCATAATTTTAAACGTTAAGTAAGTAAAATATTTATAAAATATTTATAGATAAAACAACATGGAGGTAAAAAAATAATTAACCCTAAAAAAGACATGCATTAGTAAAGAGAAGAATATACTTGTACGAGCAAAAAGTATGACACAAGTTTTTACAGTTTTAGGACGGATTGTAGAACAATGGTAAGGATTTATCGTTGCGATGTGAGGTCATTGTTTTGAGTAACAGCAACAACAACAGGTTGTTCAGCAACATGGAGTTGCAACAGCAAGGAGAGGGATCTTCCTACGGGTTGTAACACCAGGGCATTCAGTCATGTCCAAGTCCTCCCCTTTTGTCTCATGAGGCAATTCCCAATCAAACTTTTGCATAAGATTTGCTAACACAAGCTCATTAGTGACCATTGCAAAAGCAATTCCAGGGCATCCTCTCCTGCCAGCACCAAATGGTATCAACTGGAAGTCATGGCCTTTGAAATCTATGGAGGAGCTCAAGAACCTCTCTGGGTAAAACTTCTCCGGTTCATCCCACAACTCAGGGTCTCTTCCGATTGCCCAGGCGTTGGTCACGACCATTGTGCCAGCCGCGATGTCATAGCCCATGACTTTGACATCTCGACTGGCCTCTCGAGGAACCAATAATGGAATTGGAGGATGAAAACGAAGAGTTTCTTTGATCATTGCTTTCAAATAGTGCATTTTCTCTAAATCATCTTCAGTTATGTTGTTTTCGCCATTGAGAATTCCTCTCACCTCATTCTGGACTTTTTTCATGATGATGGGGTGTTTTAAAAGCTCTGTCATTGCCCATTCCATAATTGTAGCTGATGTATCAGTTCCAGCAGAAAATATATCCTACAATAACAGTACAAAGATAAACTACCCGTGCTTAAATGGCAACCCACAAGGTAAAACAAAAGATCAGTACTGAAATAGCCCCAGCATTTTAGTATAGCAGTTCATAATTTTTTGACTCTACGAAGATCATACGAAATTATCAGATTAGGGTCGATTCTTTCTCAATAATGACCCGAAAATATACAATCTGCTAATACGATTAACAAAATAGTTAGGTTAATATCAAATACAACCAATTCTTTTTTAGACAACAAACTAGTATACTTAGTTTTCTGTGAAGAAAATAGGGCAAAATTCTTTTAACCTCCCGTGGTTAGGTTATTGTGCACATCACCTATTAGTCGTTTCAAAATACGCACATCACTACCTCATGTTATTAGACTAAAATGAACTGCTAACACCGTTGATAGCAGTGACAAAAAGACATTTGTATCCTCAATGTCATTTGTTCTTCATTTCAATCACTGAAACTCCACTGCCACCCTCACCGCCGGTACCAACCAAATAGAAACATATATATATATATATAGGGTAAAAAATATTGTTTATCAATAATAAACCTCATATTATAACTACTAGGTACACAGCCATTGACGTCACCTACCTCTAAATTCTTTTGACTTAATGGAGCAAGTTTTTTTTTTGATATTATTACAGAGTGGGTACAACGACATTGAACCAACGACGTTAAGGTCTAATGGCACGGTCGAGGTCATGAGATCAATCACTAACCTTGAGCAATTTTTATTCTTGACGAATGCTATTTGACCTATTTTTTTGATATGATCAATTATTATCATTGATTTAACCGTAAATCCTAATATATGTGAATACTCACAACTAATTTTATGGTTATGATTGATTAATTCTGCAAATAAGATTTAACATTTTAGGTCTGAATAATATTTTACTTTATTCTTGAATTTTGAGTAGCAATAAATGATGCATATTGATCAATTAGTTATGTCAATAACCCAACTCAATTCTATTGAACCGACGCTCAATTATTTATTAGAATCAATTATACGAGTTATGCTATGTCATTGTGTTCTATTAAGATGGATATTTTCTAATATAATAATAATAATAATAATATCATTCAAAACAAAAACAAAAAAAATTGACAATGCTGGTTTCTATTTGCACTCAACTATATGCACATAGAGGCTAATTAGGGCCGGTAATCGAGCAGAACTATTTGGGCTCAGCTTGGCTCGACTTGTGTCTAAACAAATCGACCTTAAACAATTTTTCTATAAACGAGCCTAAAAAGCCTCGGCTCAAACTCGCAATGCTATATTCGTTTACATGTAAAATAATCGAACAACTCAGACTCGAGCTCATTTTTTTTTCAGACTTGTTTAAAAAAATGAGCACGCTAATCTTGGGTTCAAACTCGCAAACGTCATCTTGATTAATAGCCCTAAGGCTAGCATACCTACTATAAATTATGGTGCATGCAACCCCCACAAAAGTATCTATTTTTTTATCTATCTATATCTACATTTATCTATATTAGTAATAAAAAAATTTTAACATAAAAAAAGTTTGAATCTCTATTTTACCCTAATTATCTATTTTATATGTATAAATATCAGTTTTTATAAAACTTTTTGATTGATTATATTAACTTTAAAAAAATATGTATAATTATATTTTTAATAAAATGTTCAAAAAACTTTCAAAAACTCTATAAATCTAATATTACTTATCTCGTATGCAAAAATAATATTATTCCTATATATGTGTATTTTATTTTTCATCAAAAAGTTTAACCCTTTCATTTCTAAGATAAAAAATAATTGCATATATAATATTTTAAAATTAATTTATGTTAAATCAGGATAAATCCTCAATCACAATAAACTTTTTAAGTTGTATTGAGTTATGTAAAAATAGATATTGTAATATATTTTTAAATAAAATTTAAATTTTTTAAAATTTTAATATATTTGATAATATATATTATAGAGTAGTATATTAAATTTTATCCTAATTCACTTAACTAATTCTTAATTACAGGTTCCAATATAATTAGTATATTGACATTACTTTATTTTATTCAAGAAATTATAATTGAAATCCTAATAAAATTAATTTCTCAAACATCACTAAAAAAATCAATCTCAAAATCAAAAAATTCTAAAAAAATAGAATTTTAATTATTTTTTTTTCTTATAGTGAAAATAAAGAATCTAACTCTTGAGCTGATCCTAATTATCCTTAACTAGTCATGACTTCACGACTCCTGTATTCATATCCTTTTCATATCCTTGTCATACGTAAAAATAAATCTCAAATAAATAAAATATGAATCAAAATATAGAAGAGATTAACGGTTAGTTGAATCTTAACATCTCAAATTCAAACATCGTTCTCTATAATAGGGACTGAATAAAATAAATAGATTAAAAACAAAAAAGGATAGTGGGAATTATCAGTTTTTGTGCGGGTATCTACGGGTTGCATGTGGGGCCGTAGCACTTTCTTTAATAGGCTATATCAAAAATATTGAAATATGATCCTTCTATTAATTTTTGTTATTTTTTTTCATCCAAGTCAGTGGGTTGACTGTTTGACAAAAAAATAAAAATTAATAGTGGGGCCGCATTATAATATTGTTGATACATTAAAAAGAATAATATGAAAATTTAATTTTTGAGGAGAAAATAAAAATTTTCGGGATATAAAGTGCGAAAATACCTTCTATAATTTAGGGTAAATCTAAAAAGTATTATTATTATTTTAGTTGAAATAGGTTCACCAATTATGCAAAAAGCGATAATTCTTGAATTTAATTTATTAATCTAATTATTCATAACTACTAAATTAATAGTAAGACTTAATATTCAATAATGCACACAATCAATCTCATAACTATAATAAATTATATTAATTTGTTGTTGGCAATAATATAGTGGGAAAAATGGTAGAGAGAGAGAGTGTGTTATACCAAGAGGATAGCTTTGATGCTATCTCTATCAATGGAAATGCCAGTAACATCTTCCTTCTGAATCTTGAGCAGAGTATCAACAAAGTCCTCCCTGCCTTCTCCATGAACTTTTTTTCTACCACTCTCCATTTCCAGACGATCCATGTGATCTTGAAGCACTCCCTCCAAGAAATCATCAATCTCTTTCGCAACTTTATCCAATTTTGAATCAAACCCATTAATTCGATTTATCCATGAAAGCCATGGAAAAAAATCCCCAAAATTCAAACTACCCAATAACACCAGCAATTCTCTCAACAATTCCCTCACTCTCTTCCCACTTTCCCCTTCACTGTACTTCCTCCCAAAAGCCACCCTACAGACGACATCATTTGTAATCGACGTGAACATTTCACTCAAATCCACCGGCGTTGACGACGATAAATCTCCGATCTTCTTCATCATCAGAGCTGTTTCTTCTTCTCTCAGGGCAGCGAAAGACTGAACCCTTCTGTTACTCAGAAGCTGAAGAACACAGATGCTTTTCAACTGCCTCCAGTACTCACCGTAAGGTGCCACGGACACATCCTTCGAGTTGTATAGAAGCTTTTCGGCGACGTGTGATTTGGGTCGGTTTGCGAAGATGAGATCGTTGGTTTTCATGATTTCGCGGGCTGCGTCGGCGGAAGAGACGATGAGGGTCGGCACGGTGCCGAGGTGGAGAAGCATGAGAGGTCCATGGCGCTGAGATAGGGGTAGGAGTGAGCGGTGGGGGAAAAAGCCTAGTTGGTGGAAGTTTCCGATTATCGGAAGCTTTGGTGGGGATGGTGGTAGGTTCTTGCTGCTTGATGGGTTGAGGAAGAGCCATTTGATGAGGAAGATTAGGAAGAGGAAGGTGAGGAGAGATAATGAAAGGACGTGCAACGAGAAAGTTTCGACCAGTGGAGAGAGAGAAGACATTGTTGTATGTATGTGCAGTGTTTTGACAGTGGGAAGTCGACGTTTAGGGATTGAATTTTGACAATTCTATTGGTGAAACTCTACGGTACCGAAGGCAGTGTCTCACCCTCGCTTATTATTTTTATGGGAAAATTGCAACTTATAAGTAAGAAGTCACAGTTGCTTAAGGGAATTATGATCGATCACAAATGCATATGATTGATCATAAATTTTTGTTGGACAATTGTAACTTAGATTTTAAAAATTATAACTTTGATATCAATCTCAATATGTCATGAACGATCATAACTTTTAAAGGTTGTAACTTACACCTTAAAAAAATTATAACTTAATCTTAAATGATTGTAAATTTTGATACGATACCTCATTCGGTACCGTACTTTTTCCCATTCTATTGAGGCAAGTCAAGAGAAATTTATTCTTAGTCAATATTTTAGTTTTGGTATGAATAATTTGTCATTGATCGGGTTAAAAAGAAGATTAGTCGAAATGAACATAAACTAACTTAGACATCTCTGATATCATAATAGCACTGTTTGGCACTTACCCAATTTATTATTTATTTAATAGTCGTAATGTATTAAACTCTCAAATTGTGTCCCTAAATTATATAAAAAAAAATTTGTAAGGCTTATATGGCGTTGTTCTTGTGTAGTGACATTAAATTAGGTCTTAAAATTATATTTCTCATAGTCTTAATATATAAACACACGATTTTATACTCTTTCGTGGCGGCCATGCTACTGATGGAGTTTTTAATGTCTTCCCGGCTCAAACATTGTTAAAACAAATACTCTTGGGTAACGATCTAAAGTGTCTTTACCTATTTTTCGACTCCAAAAAGCCTTGAAAACTCTAAGAAGAAGACAAAGGGGAAAAAACATTATAAAACGTGAAGATTCACATGTACTTCAATTATTTTGTTTAGTAGACTTTTTAAATTTAGGG